TATAGCCTGTGTTCAAGGATCATGTGTCTTGTTCTTTGTTCTTTCTTTTTCCGTGTCAATTCTGACTTCAGTCCATATCCCCACCCCCTATATTCTTCCTTACTTTGGAACTTAAGTATAGGCTGAAAGACAGCACTCATCTTGGCAATTCCTAGATCCTAGAGAAATAAAGCATACATGTTTCTGATTTTTCTAAGTTCACAGAGAGACAGGAATTTCTCAGACATATCAAAACTTTCCCACTGATCCTGAAATATTTTCTTTGACGTTGCTTTAGATGTTACCTTAACTTCTCAGAGTTACTCCTGGGTCCCAGGAGTAACCTGACTCCCATGAATCCTCCTCATCTTATCACACCCTACCCATCCTACTAGTGAAATAGACAGCACAGTACAGAGAGAACGTAAGAGACTCACCCCTGAGATCTCCAGAAGGTTGTATAGTCTGCCTTATTTACCTTCAGGGATTTCCTGAAACTACAACTGACCTATTGCTACCAGTTCTGTTCCCAGTTTGCTCCATTCTTTCATTACCTAATATCTTAGTTCTGAAGGTGCATCCTATCTAAAGTATCTTCAATAGATCTTTCTTTCTTGGGATTAAATTGTTCCCTGGAACTTGTTTCTTCCGACCCAGTTGCATCTGGACACCGTCAACCCTGTGGAAAATCAGTAGAACCTATCAGTTGGGCCTAATCTTAGATTTAAGATAAAAGATACTTTTAACACATTCACAACAGTGCCATAATTGAGCTCTGGTTTGAACATGATATGTTTCCCTTGGCTTGAACCACCTGTGGTAGATGCATGTAGGGAATATGTTTAAAAACTTTTCTTTTTTATTAGTATATGTTTGCAGGATATAGTGATTATATTCCTTTGGCGAGTTGGTATGTGTAAATAACACATCTTGATTCTCTTTTCATCTCCTTCCCCTCCCTGCTTTCCTCCCTCTCATCATCTCTGGGTCCTCTTCACTGTTGCAAAAGATCTATCTCCACGTTTTCTAATATCCATCTTTTATTTTGGTGTTTATTTGTATTTTAGATTTCTAATGTAAGAGAAACTCTGATATTAATGATTATGTGTCTGATTTGTTTTAGTTAACATTATGGTCTCAAGGTGCATTCCATTTTCCTATATATGATTCAAATTTACCTTTTTTATAGCAGAGTACTACATTAATTATTAATACAACATATTATTTATCCATTAGTCTGTTGATGGACATATAGGCTCTTTCCAAGATTTAACTATTATGAATTGTGCTGCTATAAATATGGACATGCATATATTACTGTAGTATGATGTCTTTAACTCTATTGGGAAGATACTTAGAAGGGGAATAGCTGAGTTAAATGGAATTTCTAGTTTTACTTTTTTAAGGAATTTCTACACTGATGTTCATAGTGGTCATACTAGTTTGTATTCCCACTGGCAATGTAGAAGGGTTCCTTTTTCCCTGAAGCCTCTCCAGAATTTATTATTACTGGTATGTTATTTCTTGATGATAGTTATTCTTTCTGGATAATATGAAATCTGAGTGTCGTTTCAACTTGCATGTCTTTTAATGGCCAGAGATGTTTATTTTATGTATTTATTGGCCATTTATACTTCCTCTTCTGAGAAGTGTGTATTCATTTCAGTTACCCATTTTTTATTGAGTGTTTTACTTTGGTGGTCTAATTTTTTTGAGTTCTTTATATATTCTAAACATTAGTGCTACATCTGAGGAATAGCTAGCAAAAAGATTTTTTTCATACTGTACATTGTCTCTTTCCTCTGTTGGTTTCCTTTGTGGAACACAAAACTTTAAATTTGTGATACCATTTGTTTATTATTTATGTTATTTTTTATGCAATTGGGATTCTGTTCAAAGAGTCTTTTCCTGTGCCCATGTCTTCAAGAGTTTTACTTATTTTAATTTCCATCAGATTTTCTGTGTTCTAATGGGTCTTTGATCCATTTTTATTTTTCCTGCCACCGTTTATTAAAGAGGCTACCTTTCTTCCAGCATATGTTTTTGGATCCTTTGTTAAAGAATAGGTACTGAATATATTTGGGGTTGTTTATGCATGCTCTGTTCCATTCCATTAATCTGTGTATCTTGTCTTTGTGCCAGTTCCTTGCTGTTTTTATAACTGCAGCTTTGTAATATAACTTGAAGTTTGGAACTATCATATGTCTTGGTTTGCTATTATTGCCCAGGATTGCTTTTGCTGTTCTGGGCCACTTCTATTTCCATATAAATTTTAGGATTGTTTTTCCTAGTTCTATGAGGAATACTGGTGGTATTTCGATTGGGATTATGTTACATTTGTATATCAGTTCTGGAAGTATGTCCATTTTGACAATATTGGTTCTGTCTATCCAGGAACAGGGCATATATTTCCTTTTTTTTTGGTACTGGGGATTGAACTCGGGTCCTTAACGCTTGCAGAGGCAGGCAGCAGAACCACTGAGCTAAATACCCGGCCCTATTTCCATTTTTTGATGTCCTCTTTGATTTTCTTTTTCAGAGTACTGTAGTTTTCATTTCAGAGGTCTTTCACTTCCTTGGTTTATTGAATTCCTAAGTATTTAATTTTTGTTGATGTTATTATGAATAGTATTATTTCCCTAATTTATTTAGAGTTAATTAGAAACACTATTATAGAAAACCTTTTCTATCCATACCTGTCTCCAGTTTCTTCAAAAAGCCAGTATCATTTTTCAACAAAAGTATTCACATTTCTTCATCTAAAACTTGCTGGCAGTTTCTGTTGCCTATTGACTTAGAGTAGGGGACTCACCTGCCCTTGAATCCTGAAAGCCCCCTTTTTTTTTGGAGGCAGGGTCTCATTGCATAGTTCAGGCTGGCCTTTAACTCTTACAGATCCTCCTATCTCAGCCTCCTGAGTGCTGGGATTACAGGTGTATGCTGTCATAGCTGGCCTGAAAGCCTTTGTTCTTTTCTCACCATCTCCCCCACATTAATCTTTCTAAAACATATTTCTAATTACCCAAGTCAGCAAGAGGTAGGTGGGAAATGGTATTTGTCTTACCAATGTGCAAAACCTAATTAGTAATCTAATTAGTAGTAATTTATTCCTTGATTTTATCTCTTATATCTCTTAGATTCCCTACTCATTGCACACTAAACCCCTATTTTCACACCCACTCAAACAAAAGATAGAGAAGACTGCTTAATGTCAGCCTGAACTTATTAGGGTGTGTCTCAGCTTTCCTGCCTCCATTTCTGGTGGTGGGCATGCAGGGGTTGAATGGATAGCCAGACCATTAACATGCTAATGCCAGAAACTGGTGAACAGACTCCATCTGTCTCTTCCTGGCAGGTTTCTCTTTCTTGCCCACTGCTGAGCCAAGATTACTATAGTTAGGTATCCACTTTGTTTTTATCCTCAGCCTATAGGAGAGTAATCATGACTGGGCTCTTTCTAGGACTGGAAAAAAGTATTGCAACCTCTAGGGACAAGAGAGCTTCAGGTTGTATACTTCCAGACATTCTTTCTTTGAATATCATAAATGGGACTCAATCTTTTTTTTTAGGGTGCTTCTATTGTTTGTTTTTCCTCATTGAGCTTATTGGTACATTTTAGGTATACAGTACAGTTACATTCATTATTGGGATCTTGTACCCTTACATGACAGGTCTTGGTTCTCATTTTTTCCCTTTGTCCCTGCCCTCCCTTCACCCCCTCCTCCCCTCCCCATTTACAAACACTTTATTTGCATTTTCTCATATTTTTTTCCTTTATTACCTTTCCCCTACCCTTCCCACTTTCCCTACAACTTTAGCCCTTTTCTTCCCATTTCACAATGTCAGTTATCTCATTAGGATCTTATGTACTATTACAGTTTATTCACACCAGAGAAACTATTCGGTATTTACACATGTGTGACTTATTTATTTCACTTAGGAGTATATCCTCAATGTGTATCCATGTTCTTGTACACAAATAACAGACTCACTGAGAGAGAAATTAGGGAAACAATTCCTTTCACAATAGCATCCAAAAAAATGAAGTATCTAGGAATCAATCTAACAAAAGAACCAAAAGACTTCTATACTGAAAACTACAGCACTCTTGAAAAAAGAGATCGAAGAGGATATAAGAAAAAGGGAGTCAATCTTAAAGTTGCAGACATTCCCAGTTTCTAAAAGTAAGGAACAACAGAGAGGTTGAAAGTTTGAGTTGATGATACTTATGGCCAGTGATACAGTCATTTATGCCCACATTATAAGTCTTTCATACAAACCCAAAGGATGGTGTTTGTTTAGGTATCTTCTGGATAAATGAACATGTGAAGGTCCATGAAGGGTGATGTGCTGGAGGACATAGAAGTTCTTTACTCCTCCCATAACTCACCCTTTACATTTCTTCCATCTGATTGTTCATTTGTCTTCTTTCAACACCCTTTATAATGAATGGGCAAACATTAGAAAAGATAAGGGACAATATATGAGAGTAACCCAGGAAATAAAATGCAAGAGCTAACCCAACAATCTCTGCCTTCAGTTTTTAACCTATTCTGGGAGTAGACAGCTACATGATATAACAAAAGGAAGGGGGAGGTGGTAGAAAGTGCACTGGATTTGAATAGATTTGGAGTTAAACAGACTGGTTTGAATCCTCACTCTTCCACTCATTACTAGAACCTCGGGCAAATAATTTCAATTCTCTAAAATTTTATTATCTGTAAAATGGGCCTAATTGTTATATCACAGTGCTATTATGAAAAATAAAGAAGACAATAGATACAAGGTTCTTGGTATGTGAATTGCTAATAAGTAATAGATCATTTTCCTACCTCAGCAATAGTACTTTATGTAGAGGTGCCAACATTGGTTCTTGACTTCTGTCCAAATGCATTTTTCTTTTCTGATCTGAGCATGTTAAACCCTGTAAGGACAGAGGTGAGGTTGGCTCCACCTTTGTGTCATCTGCCTGGCAAAGGGTAGGTATTCAACCAATAGTGATTTTGTGTTTTCTCTTCCAGGTGGTGAAAACTATTGGTCTGAGGGAAGTTTGGTTCTTTGGTTTGCAGTACCAGGACACCAAGGGTTTCTCCACTTGGCTGAAACTCAATAAAAAGGTAACTGTTTACTCCTCTGCAGGTTTGGGGTACCTTCCTTCATCAGAACTTGTTCAGGGGGTAATGTATGCTAGCTAGCAAATCTGGGTTACCTAGAGCTCTGTGTATCATTGGGTGGTCTCTTGAATACCTGGATCAGAATAAGGGCAGGGGACTTAAGCACAAAGCTCTTACTCTGTCTCCACTTTTTTTTTAAAACTTGTGATAGTGAGAATGGCTGCATTTAAGAAAGAGTTTTTCTTCCCACTGGGATCTTTGGTTTTGTTTTTTTACCAAAGCCTTTAGTAGTTTTTTAAGAAGGGATTGGCATCCTTTCCTTGCTTTCAAACTCAAGGTCTATGGAAGTTCTGTTAAAAGAGAACCACAAACTTTTTTTTTGTACTAAAGAAAATCATGAAGATCCCAGTTTAATGCTACCCTTCTCTCTTACTAGTCTACTATTGCCTGACCATCTACAGATGTTCCCTCTTTCTTGGTCTTCCACCTCAATTAGATCACAACTGGGATGATTTGAGTCCATCAAGCTCTCTGACCCAGTTAGTATCTCTGCAAGAACCTGGCAATCAATATCCCAAACTAGTTGACTTTCTTCTTAGAGGTCTCCATACTATTTATTCTGTGACTTGTTTACCTCATTGTCTCTATGAGGTTGGTATGCTACTTTCTGCCGAGAGAATCTTGTTTTCTCAAAGAATTTGCCCTTTTGTCAGACAGCTACAAAGCCATTAAGAGCCAATTTCAGGCTTTAAAAGTTGCTTTACTTTGATCAGGCATGGTGGCACATCCCTGTAGTTCTTATACTCAAGAAGCTGAGGCAGGAGGATTATGTATTTGAGTCCAGTACCTGGGCTATGTAGGTGGTTCATGGTTGGCTTGGACTGCGAAATGAGATCCTCTCTCTAAGAAACAAAAATTTAAAAATCACTAAAAGGTGATTTTGTCTGTGTTTTTGTCCAGCTAATTCTTGGGCCTCAAATCATAGTTTCCAGTCTTTTCTTTGCTATTTTATGGAATGGGATGATCCTTGAAACAACTTTCTCATACTTATGTAAGAATTTGAGGCTAGTTGGCTATATTGTCAGATATCAGTCACTTGAGGGCCTGTGAACATCAAGATCAATAGGAGATGATTATGGACATGGGACTGGGAAGGGTCGCCAATGAAAGTAATATCATTTGAATTATCAGCAAGATTTCCACCTAGCTCTGTAAGATTGCTCAAACTGATGACCTTTCAGTGTCTTCTCCTCAACCATTACTCCCCCACCATAAAATCCTATTTTTTAGAGGTTATAATCCCTTGCTGCTCCCAGGTGACTGCACAGGATGTGCGAAAGGAAAGCCCCCTGCTCTTTAAGTTCCGGGCCAAGTTCTACCCTGAAGATGTATCTGAGGAATTGATCCAAGATATCACCCAGCGCCTGTTCTTTTTGCAAGTGAAGGAAGGTATTCTCAATGATGACATTTACTGCCCACCTGAAACTGCTGTGCTACTGGCCTCTTATGCTGTCCAGTCTAAGTATGGTGACTTCAACAAGGAGGTGCATAAGTCTGGCTACCTGGCTGGAGACAAGTTGCTGCCCCAAAGGTAAGGTGACACCTTGGTCTCTTTTGCCCTTGCCAAAGGGAACTGCAACCTAAGGATAACTTATCTGCTGCTCAGGGACTGCAAGGTCTGTTCCTCTTCACTAGTGTCTGCCCAAAGACTGTATTATATACCTATTTGCATGTATCATGCGCTGTTGCTTCTCTGGCTCTCAAGCCTTTTTCTCCCCCCACTCTCTCTGCCCAATTACAGAACTTCATTACCCCAGAGACAGATACTTATATAGAAACAGAGGTACATTCATTTTTCACCAGTTGCATTTCCTCTATCCCTTTCACTGATTTAGACCTCTTATTTCAGAAGTTCATAGGGCAGAGAGAAATATACACAAGCCACAGAGCTCAGTCTTTTAATATTAGTGCACAGTGATTTCTGCTTTTTGTAAACTTCAAAGTTGAAAGCTCTCAAATACACATTTTTTTTTTGTTTTAGCATCACAACAACACATAATAAGTCAGGCATTATCCTTATTTCCTGTTTTAGGAAATGGAGATGTAGAGGTACTTGCCATGACTTGCTCCATCTCTCACAGCTCATTTGAGGCAGAGCCATACCAAAACCCTGATTTCTTATTTTCTTAATTGCAGCTTTTTTTCTATTGCATTTGATTGTTATTTCCATAGACTTTTGGATTAGGAAAAAAATGAAATCTCATTCTCAGATCCCTGGTGCCATTGGACTTGTGGCATATATATAATCTGAAGGAATTAGGGATACTAGTTGTACCCTCGGACGTTTTATGATTTGTAATATCTGAGGTGTCATGTTTAAAGCAAGCCTCTTTTATAATCTAGTAGACTTACGAGTTTGAGCCTATAATTTCTCTCAAAGATGTTTGGTCTTAGTTCTCTGTTTTGTAGCCAACAGCTGTCCTCTCATCCCTGAGCAATATTCTTACAAATTGTTGTTCTTAGACGAATCTAGGAGAGGATGTACCTCTCCTAGAGGTGTGAGACCCATCCTGTGTGAGACCCATCCTGACTCTCTGCCTCTAAAATCAGCACATATTCCTTATAAATCACTGTTATACTTGGAGACCACGGGATATTATTGTATTTTCTGGTTCCCAGTGGTCCCAGTATCTTTCTTAGTCATCAATAGCGTATAGCTCTCCTATCTCTTAGGAAATTTCTTATTTCTAATTTAATATCTTCTGCTGTGATTTTAATCTATTTCATGTATGACGTTGGTGGGCTGACTCTACATTTAAATCAACTTCTTTAGAAAACTGAATGGCCTTCCCTACTCTCTCCTGCACATGGGATTTGCACTTCAAACTAAACACTATGTTTTTATTTTTAACATTTTTAATTGAGTTTATTGATACATTTTAGGTATAC